TCTTGACTATACTTATTTGTGGATGATTATATTATCCAGGTTGGAACTGGTTCCATGGTCAAAAACTCCTTGAATGTCAGATGTATTCTTGCCTACCTAAAAGACTCATTTAGAAAACTTGAAAGTGCTTCCTCAACCTAAAAATTTCCTCTTTTAGGACAATATCAAATATTCAATTCTCAGGTAAATTGGTAGAGAAAATGTTTGTCTCTCAAGTCTAAATGAATCTGAGGTTCCATCAGGTATGGCCTATGCGATAAACTCAGTAAAGGATGACTTAATCTGAAAATATATGAACCTGCTCATTCTCGTAGGTCTCCTGATGGCTTTCAAAATATAATATTGTTAAATCTAGCATAATATAAACACTATATTCCACCATCCAGTGATTTTAACATTTGGGAGCATTGCCTTACAGTACTTCTACTGTTCAGCACCCTATGTATTTACTTTACTTATTTATTTATTTCTTTTCTTCCTTATGCTTATGTGCCACTCCAATGCAGCAGGTCATCACTGACCTATGTTTCCACGAGGCTCTATTTTGTTATCTTTATTGTTTAACATCTCCATAAAACCATTATGGGAGTTATTTTGGACCTCTAGATGATGCCAGTAGCATGACAGTTACATCCAGTTCTACTGCTCCCTGCCTTCTGAATCCACAAACAGTATCTTTGAATATTGCCTAATCTTAATAAGGGGATGGATGAGGAATAACAGGTATAATTAAATCCAGACAAGATGGAAATGTTATGGGTAAGTGTAAGCAGGACTCTGAGACTGAGGTAAAACTTTTTCTAAATGAGTCGTATTTTCCCAGGAAGAGCAGGTTTGCCAGTGTTCTTTGTGCACTTTGATCCCACTGGATTTGCAAAGAATATATTCACAAAATTGCTGTAGAATTGGCAGTGATTGTCCACATCACTCTTAGAATCCATATGACAACTGCTATGCACTCACATTGGCCTACTAATGAAAGGTAGTCAGGTTTGAGGAAAAGATGGCAGCCAGAACAAGATAGAGGAATCATATAAAACTGTTACTAAAAGATCTGCACTGACTACCAAATTATCACCAGGCTTGATTTAAGGTGCTCCTGTTTATTTATTTGGTTTGATTTTAGTACTACCTCCCTCAAGAACATAATATAGCAACATAAATTAAACATACACACAAAAACTTAAAGAAATAATACAGTGGCAATATAGACAATGTCAAAGAAACAAAAAACAATATAAATCACCTCTAATGAGGACAGGGGGTGTCACATGCATTCTACAAGGCCAGGTCTTTCAAGCTTTCCTGAATGCTATCAGGATGGGAGCTTTCTGGATCTCAGGGAGGACCTTATTCCACATGGAAGGTGCTGCCACAGAGAAGGCACACTTTCTGGGTCCCAAAATCACTATATATTTATAAACTTTACATCTTTATAATTATGTTTTACCTTGTATCTTTTGCAGATAGCTCACTGAAAGATGCAAACTTAAAATAAAGCAGAACAAGAAGGAAACTACAGCTATAAAATATTAACAGAAGGGTAAGAACTATCTTTCAAAATTACTTTTTGTTTTTTTTAAATATATATTTTCTTTTGTTCTATGAAATTGAAACTAATATGGAAGAATGAAGAAGCATACCTAAGTTGAACAAAAACAGCAGCAGCAAAACAGCATCGAGTAAAAGATAATAATTGCTTTAGTAATATATCATGCTATTTTTAGTTATGAATAAATCTTTGGGAAGATTCCCAAAAATGCATGATACCTATTATTACCCATTATTTATCCCCCCATTTCTAATGTTTAGAAATATACATTTTGTTTCAATCTCCTTTAATAATTATGGTCACTGTTGATCTCCATGAATTAATTAAACTATTTCTAATCAACACTTCTGTACATGCAAATGATGTAAAGGAGTACTCTTACTATACTGGTATGTAATTTATAGTTCATCTCCAAGTACTAATATAAAATGCACTCAGACCCACTGATTTGATAATACATGAAAACCTCCGTACTCGTTCTATTAGAAGGAGAAATTTCCTTTATGAAATATGTATAACTATGTATTGGTACTAGAAAATCTATTCAGTGGTAAAACTGCACTAAAACATGATGGGAAAGACTAGGATATAAGATTTCATATATCAGCCATTTCCTCCAATCTTTGAATGTTTCTTGGTAAAACACCTATATTGTTAATGTAGTAGTGCTGCATATTTAAATGACAACTGCATATATCACTGGGAAAATAGCATCCTCCAATGGAGGCACTCATTTTGTCCCTGCAATAAGCTGTTACTCTGCCTGCCCTTAAGATCTGGATAACCTTTTGGAACAGATTTCAGAGATGCACCGAGACTGCAGGGTAGAGGAAATGTCTGTCTTGTATGTATAAGTTCATTTATGTTATTGCATGTAGCCCATTAAAGCAGGGCTTTTCAACCAGTGGTACGGGTACCACCTGTGGTACATTGGCACCTGGCAGGTGGTACGCAACCATCCTAGAAAAGTGGTAGCAGGGGAGGGGAATGAACTGAACTGGTGGTAGCACCGCACAAGCCTGAGCAAGAGATGGCTGGAGCTGCAGGGCTGTCAGGGCTGAGCAGAAGCTGAGCCACCCCAACGATGCCGCGGAAGTGATGTCCCGGTGCCTGGAGGCCGTGCGAGTCTGAATGGGGAGGAACAGGCTTCGACTCAACCCGTCCAAGACCGAGTGGCTGTGGTTTCCGGCGTCACATCATAGCCAGTTGGTTCCATCTCTGGCTATCGGGGGCGAGTCATTAGCTCCCGCGGAGAGGGCCCGCAACCTGGGCGTCCTCCTGGATGTTCGGCTGTCTTTAGACGATCATGTGACAGCCGTGGCCAGGGGGGCTTTTCATCAGGTTCGCCTGATATGCCAGTTGCGCCCCTTTCTGGATCGTGACGCTCTACGCACGGTCACTCAAGCCCTCATTGTTTCCCGCCTAGACTATTGCAACGCTCTCTACATGGGACTCCCCTTGAGGTGCACCCGGAGGCTCCAGCTAGTTCAGAATGCGGCCGCGCGGGGGATCCTGGGGGCCTCTAGATACTCCCATGTAACACCTCTCCTGCGCAAGCTGCACTGGCTGCCTGTGGCCTTCCGGGTGCGCTTCAAGGTGTTAGTAACAACCTTTAAAGCGCTCCATGGCAATGGACCTAGGTATTTGCAAGACCGCCTCCTACCAAACACCTCCCTTCAACCAGTCTGCTCCCACAGAGAGGGCCTCCTTAGGGTGCTGTCGGCCAGACAATGCTTGCTGGCGACCCCCAGGGGGAGAGCCTTCTCTGTGGCAGCTCCTGCCCTCTGGAATGACCTACCCCCTGACCTACGTACAGTTGCGGACCTGCGCCTTTTTCGGCGAGCCCTGAAGGCTCATCTATTCCGTGCGGCCGGCCTGGCGTAGTTTGATTATGTTTTAGTGGGGGTTTTGTATGGGGTATTTTTAGAGCAGGCCTGTTATTTAATTTGATTTTAGACAGAAATTTGTGTATATTTATTGTGGTTTTTATTATCGCCTGTTCACCGCCCTGGGTCCCGTAAGGGAGATAGGGTGGTATATAAATTCAATAAATAATAATAATAATAATAAGAAGAAGAAGCGCCAGGATCAGTGCCGCTTTCCAGCTGATCGGTGGTTCTTTGGAGCTATCAGTGCTCAGTGGAAGCACCAGGATCAGTGCCAGGCTCCAGCTGGAGCTCAGCGCTGATCCTGGCGCTTCTGCTGAGTCCTGAAGAAGTGCCGATCAACTGGAATGTTGCAGCATCTCCAGGGTCTTGTGATTTACATTCAGATGCTTGGCAACTGATTCATATTTATGACGGTCACAGTGTCCCAGGGTTATGTGAAGTGACCAAAACCTGCTGCAACCACCCAGCAGACAGGGGGAATAAAACCAAACACCACCCCACACCACCCCCGCTGCCAATCCTCAACAGAAATGCTCACAACAATGAAAACCTTGGAAGAGGAAGAGTGCTGCTGGGTGGGCAGGCAGGTGTCTTGCTCGGCTGTGGCTTGGGAGGGCACTTTTTTCAGTGCCATTGTAACTTCGAACAGTCACTAAGCGAACTGTTGTAAATTGAGGACTACCTGTACTTTTTTGGGGGGGTCATCAAGTTTTTGACACCTTGCTAGGCGACTGGTGGTACTCAGATATTGCCATATCCTAAAAGTGATACAGTGGGTGAAAAGGTTGAAAAGCCCTGTATTAAAGCATGACTGACACCTAGCTAAAAAAATTAGCCTCAAACCATTTTGGAAACATAGCATTCATATATAATTATTTAGCTAGTATATTCTACCTTTATTGACAAATAGTGCAATTTGTTTTCAATTAAAATCCATTGTAACTATCACTTTAGGGAGATATTAAGGCTAAACTCTCTGTTATATTAATATTTTATGTGCAAGGAACTCATTTTTTTGGATTAAAGATTTGAGGCCATCCACCAACAGCCTGGTAGGATTAGACTCAGATACAAGGTGATCTACTCAGTGAGAATGTTATGTTACTCATGACTTAACTTAACAACATTCTTCACTTTTTTTCTTTTTTCTTTTGCATTATAAAAAACTCATAGAGATCTTAAACTTTTCAAAGAGTGGACAGGCTCAATAACATTGAAAGTGATTTTTAATATTTGCATTATATTATTAAAGACAGCATGTATTCTGCAGTAGCATTTTAATCATTTTCAGTAAACAGCATATTCAGTCATACAGTAGATCACTCATGATATTAGAGATAGGTAAATGAGGCAGACTTAAGTGTCTAAGGTTGATCCATACAACTTTGTGAATTCACAAAATCTCAGATTATCTTTTTACATTCAGATTGATAAAGCAAGCTAATTAATCAAATCTCGAACCAGAAGAATGTAAAACAAATTGAGGTTTTAAGCCCTGCTCCTTACCAATCTCTAGGTATTCATGATAGAATGATAATTATGATGGTGACATTATTTAC